GACTATCATTTGCAGATCGCGAACGGTTGCGCGACATTTTAGAAAAATTGAAAAGCGAAGGGGTGATTAGGCCCAGTGATTCCGAATACGCCAGCCCAATCGTACTGGTACGCAAGAAAAATGGCGAGATTAGACTTTGCGTCGATTATCGCGAGATTAATAAGATTACGATAAGGGACAACTTCCCTACGCCCCTTATCGAGGATCATTTAGATCGGTTGAAGGATAAGCAACACTTTAGTAAGCTCGATTTGAAGAATGGGTTTCATCACGTGGCGATGGCCAATCCTTCCATTAAATATACATCTTTCGTAACGCCCTTGGGCCAATTCGAGTATTTAAAGATGCCGTTTGGGCTGACCAACGCCCCTCGTGTATTTCAACGGTTTACGAACAAGATCTTCAGACCATTAATCGAGAAGAATAAAGTCTTGCTGTACCTCGACGATCTTCTGATCGCCACGGAAAGTGTCGATGAGCATCTCGCGATCTTGAGTGAGGTATTCCGCCTAGCGCGTACGTACCGATTGACGTTTCGACTAGACAAGTGCTCGTTTCTGTACTCGGAAATCAGTTATTTAGGGTACTTGATAAGTGCCGAGGGCATCTGCCCCAGTAGCGAACACGTCGATGCGATTGCTCAGTACGTACATCAATTCGTCGGTCTGGCGAGTTACTTTCGCCGTTTCATTCCGAATTTCTCGCGTGTAGCAAAGCCGCTTTATGACATCGTTAGGACAAACGATTTTAAGTTCGGACCCGACGAGCACCATGCATTTGACTGGCTTAAGAGCCGTCTCGTTGCTCAACCTATTTTAGCGATCTTTTCCCCGAAATTATCAACCGAATTACATTGTGACGCGAGCGCGAGCGGCTTCGGTGCTATTCTGCTGTAGAAGCAAAACGGTGGCAAATTGCAACCCGTAGCGTACTTTAGCCGCCGCACGACCCCTACGGAATCCAAGTACCATAGCTTCGAATTAGAATGCCTCGCGGTAGTGTACGCGATCAAACGGTTCCATATTTATTTGTCCGGGATGTGCTAAAATATTGACCGACTGCGACAGCTTCCGACTAACTCTGTCAAAACAAACCGTGAACCCCCGGATATCGCGTTGGGCTATGTTCTTACAAACGTATGATTTTGAAATCGAACACCGATCGGGAAACCGAATGAGACACGTTGACGCGCTGAGCCGATGTCACAGCATGATGGTGCAAGAAGGTAACACCCTTGACCAAATTCTGGCGATTAAGCAAAATGAGGACCCGGATATTCGCGCGATTCGCGAAAGACTAGAGACTTCCGAGGAAAAATCGTTCGAATTACGCGATGGCTTGGTTTATACGAAAGTCAAGAACGATAAGCTACTGTTTTACGTGCCTCGCGAGATGGAGGATAAAGTCATACATACGAGTCACGACGACTTGGGGCACGTTGGTGTCGATAAAGCCCTTGAAAATTTAACCCGCGTGTACTGGTTCCCAAAAATGCGGGAAAAGATTAAACGATACATCAGCAACTGCCTGAGATGTATTGAGTTCGCGCCGTTAAGCGGGAAACGGGAAGGATACCTTCACAGTATTCCGAAAGGAGCACTACCGTTCGATACGATCCACTTGGATCATTATGGCCCATTAGAAAAGACCAAAAGCGGCAACAAATACGTGCTAGCCGTCGTTGACGCATTTACGAAGCATATTCGCTTATTTCCGTGCCGATCGACGAAGACAGAACAGACAATCGAGCATCTGCGCGAGTACTTCCGCACGTATAGTCGTCCGAAGCGTGTCGTCACTGATAGAGGGACGTCGTTTACGTCGAAAACGTTCAAAGATTTCGTTGACAATGAGTCCGTCGCGCATGTGTTGGTAGCGATCGGGACTCCTCGCGCTAACGGTCAGGTCGAGCTATTCAATCGTGTGCTGACCCCGATGTTAGCAAAGTTGTCCGAATCCCCCGAAACATGGGATCGAGCATTACATCAGGTGGAGTTCGCCCTAAATAATACGGTTTGGCGCTCCACCGGTGAAACACCAAATATGCTCCTGCTTGGCCGAAATCAGGTGGG